AAAGTTAAATTAGAAGAGAAATTAATAGAAAAACAAAGAAACAAAGACAGTAATTATTAAATAGAAACCTCACCAACATACCGTGTGGAGGACGAAAGCCAACGTACCGGCAAGAAAGTATCGCCTCTTGAAACGACGTACCGACACCTCACCGACGCACCATGTGAAGAAAGAAGCCAACGTACCGGCAAAATAGGATCACCTCTTGAAACGATGTACCGACACTGACGCACCTGTGAAGGATGAAAGCCAACGTACCAGCAAAAAAGGATCGCCTCTTGAAACGACGTACTGACACCGATGCACTGTGTGAAAGACGAAAGCCAACATACCAGCAATAAATGATTGATCACCAAATCGTGACCTCACCGACATACCGTATGAAGGAAGAAGCAATGTATCGGCAAGAATACAAAAAAAAAAAAGAAGTAAATTAAAACAGAAAAAGACAAACAAGTATCAGAAAGACAAAAAAGAAGAAGAAAGTAAAACTTACCAGAAGAAAAATCGGCCAACGTATCGGCAAGAAAGAATATACCTGTTGTAGACGTACTCACCAGAAATTGGAAAAAAATAGAAGGGAAAGAAAATTTTTGTTAGTAAATTGATAAAGGATAACAAAAAAAAAAAAAAAAAAAGCAATACTTCCCCTTGAAATCCGAAGAACAGAATCCAGCCTAGGTTCCGGTATCCTGGCAAACCAAGAGAAAGATAAGCATCAGTATCAAAAAAAAAATAATAATAATAAATAACAAAAATACTTACCCAGCGGAAGTGTAAAAAGCCTTGGGACCCCAACGATAGTACCTCTGGAAATTATGCCTGCTCACATTCTGATCTGAAAATTAATTACTTCATAAATAGCTAAAGTAAATTAAAAATATATTACTTACCAAAGCTTAAAGCCTAAGGATTACGACATATTGACAGGATCTGCAATTAAGCTTTTAGATTAGTAATCGGCAACTGTATACAAAAAAAAATATATAATAACAAGATAAATAAATATAATAAATAAATAACAAAAAAAAAAAAAAAAAAAAAAAAAATGCAATTGGACAAAGGAAATTTTATACGACTTACTGAATATGTCAAAAGTTTCGTAGAAGAAGCAAGCAGAAAGATCCAGAATGCTGAAATGTGTGAAGAAGAGTTCCAGGAGTTCAAGTTGCTTGCGGAATTCTATCGGGAAATTGCGAATGAAGTAAGAAGAAAGAAACCTCATTGGTTAAAAGAAGAAATTAAGATGGAACAAGAGACACTTACCTCAGGAAAACAATGCCAGCCTAATACTCCAGAAAGAAAGAAGCGAACAAGACACTTGGCGAAAGGAAGAGCCCAAACCCCCAATAATACGAGAAGCTATGTAAAGGAAGAAAAAAATAGATTAGTAAACAAGAAAACCAATGTGTCCAAGTGGTATTTAAAATTGGCTCAAAGTGATTATTCACCTGGACAACGCTATGATAAAGCGATGTGCACAATCAGGAACAAAAAGGTAGCATTTGAACGGTATTTAAAAAATACTGAAGATAGAATTGGGATCAAAAAAGATGAACATAGGGTGTTCATTTATTATGAACCTGCTGAGATGGGAGACGTTAAAGGAACATATAACGTCGGCTATCGTGAACCCACTGAGATGAGGGACGTTAAAGGAACATGTAATGTCGGCTATTGTTATGAAAAAAGCACAGAAGCTGAAGACGATAAACGCAAGGCATTCGAATATTCTCAGAAAGCTTCTGAGTTAGGGGATGTTAATGGAATATATAATGTCAGCCGTTGTTATGAAAATGGTATTGGAATTGAAAAAGACAAGCAAATTGGTGTTGACAAAGATGAACATAAAGCTTTCATCTATTATCAAAAACCTGTGGATATGGGACATGACAAAGGAACATATAACGTTGGTCACTGTAACGAAAATGGTACCAAAGCGAAAAAAGATGAAATAGAGGCATTCACTTACCATCAAAAGTCAGCAGATACAGGAGATTCTAATGTAACATCTAATGCTGGTTATTACTATGAAAATGGAATTAGAGTTGAAAAAGACGAACAGATTGGAATCGAAAAAGTCGAACACATTGGAATTGAAAAGACCGAACATATCGAAGTTGAAAAAGGTGAACGAATTAGAGTTGGAAGAAACGAAAAACTAGCATGGGAATGGTATTCGAAATCTATTGAAGATGGACGACAAATCCCGTTGGAAAACCTGGACCAGGCTTGTGAAGACTAGAACAGAAGGGTAAACGAGTTCAAAAGATCGATCCAATACAACACAAAGATGACAAAGAACCCATACCTGGCCGAGCCTGAAGAATTTTCACCACCTAATAGAGGACAGAGTCTTGGTTCTTGTTATCAGAATGGAACCCAGCCCGACAAAGAGAAATTGAGCAGTAAAATGCCTGAATGATACTTAAAAGTTATAAAAGGAATGGTGTTAGATCGAATTGGGCATATAAATATTAGCAAAAAAGAAGCTCTTCGATGCTTACCAGCACGTGACCTACCTAATCGAGTATTCGATCTCGGTGGAGACTTCCTTCAAAAAAAAAATATATATATATAAAATAGATATATAATTAGCACACAATAAACCGTAGTAAAAAAAAAATAAAAAAAAAAAAAAAAATCAAAAACAATAATATTTTTTTTAGCGATCTATTGTCAACCATTCCACAAGTTGTAAGCATTACACCCTTGCTGTACCACCCAGCTGAAACCTTCGAAGCTTGATCTAATTCGTGGAATGAATATATTAAAGTGGAGAGAAATGTTATGATCTAAAATAAGATCGTCAATAATTTATTAAAGATCGATTGCATAATTAAACAATAGTATATATATTAATTAATAGATATAGCATATGTATAGCGTAATTAGTAGATATAGGGTATATAGCGTAATTAGTAAATATAGCGTATATAGCGTATATAGCAGATATAGTGCATAAAGTAGATATAGCATATATAGTGTATAGAGTGTAAATAATGTATTTAGCAGATAGGGAAAAAGTATATAAGTAATGCGCTTAAAATGTAAATAGAAGAGAGAACAAGACGTAGAATATAGTAATAAAGAATACCCACCTTACACTTACCAAATCCAATGCCTCTTTCGAGTGTAGTAACGTCCTACGTTACGCTAATGACGTATCGGCTACCCTATAAATAGGGAATTCTAGGGTAGTTCCGACCTGTATCATTACAATATACAGTCTGTAAGTTTTTTTATAAATTTTTTTTATATATATTATGCATAAATAAATATTCTAATAAATATTAATTTTAGATAATTCAAATATTTAGTTTATTTAGAGAGACAACCTGAATCTTTAATGGTGCTACTGTAAAGACTAGACTTATAAAACTGAGCTAGAATTTGTAAAACTAGTCAAAAAGTCAGTCTTTGAGAAGAGGCTGAATGAAACTAACCAGGCTGCTAGGATCTATTTCAGAAGAAAAGGTTATATGTCAACAAATATATAAATCAAAGATGTATAGTTATGATTTGCTTTTTGAGCTATCTGGTTTGAAAGCTTGGTAAAACTTGAATTGAATATTAAAGTAATAAGAATATGTTGTGAAGTTAGTACTGAGATTGGGGTAAACTCTACAAGGACATAGTAGTTTAATGATATGCCCTGACCACCAGTGTTGGTCTTGGCCATAGTAATACCAGATCAGCTATAAGAATAAAATATAGAAGATTCTGAAAGGTTTAGTACAAGGTTAAAGGTTTCTCATATGAGTAACTGCTTTAAAGACTTAGTAGCAATGATATATTTTCACTAGCATTGGCCAAAGTCATTGGTAGGCAGAGATAGATAAGTAAATACAGAAACTAGAATAGTTAAATAGGAAACCTACAAGTAGGTTCCAGATATGGCAACTAGTGTAGAACCTTTAGGTGCATTACTTAAATTAGACAATAACTAAAGTTTTATGAGTGGCTAGTTGTACATTTTTTCTATAGTTGCCACTTGTAGTTGTAATACAACTATTAGCCAATATACTATCAATAAAATCCTAGGTCACAAGTACTCACCTTAATATTTAAAAAAAAATAAATATTTTGTTTATTAATATAGCTAAAAAGTTTTTTTTTATATTATATTATTTATAAGCAATATTAATATTAATTAATCCAAATATTTTGTTTATTAATACAGTTTATAAGTTTTTTTTTCCTTTATAGCATATTATATATAAGTAAATATTTTAACAAATATTAATTTTAAATTTTTTTTGGGTATTAAGATGAAGGCTTGCTTCTATCTTTATTTTAACTATATAGAATTACTGAATACAAAAAGAAGTTCTATATATGCTACAGCTAAGACCAACACTTGTGATCAGAGCTAACTATTAAACCACTAACTATAAAACTATAACTCTAAGTAATATAAATGCTACATGCAAAAGTAAAAGCTCAGACATATTTATCTGCAGCTTAAACCTACTAGAGTGGCTAAGACTTACCTAGATTAGTTGAAATTTTCTAAATAATATTTATTACTCTAATATATATTAGTAAACTACTTATAGATTTTATTAACTATTTATACTATTAGAAGTTAATTACATTATTATAAAGAAAAGAAACCAAAGATAAGATAAATTAAATAAGAAATAAAGTATAGTTAAAAAAGTAAAAAGTAGTATTAATTAAATAAGCAAATAAATAAAGAAAGTTAACAGAATTGTAAGAATGTAGCTAAGATAAGTAATATAGATTAGATAGATAAATATATATAAAAAAAGTTAACAGAAATGTATAGATATTACTAGAAGAAAAGGCAATCATCAAGTTCATCAATGATTATAAATACATTAAAAGTGTAAATAAAGTTAGTTTCTAATACTGTAGATATAACAATATTAAGTTTTTTGATAAAATATTAGTTTGATTGATTGAAATATAATTTGTTAAGGTTTTTTTTAAGTTGAGTAATTGTTGGTTTAGAGATTTGAGTAATGTCATAATAGGCAATAATTCTGGCTAGAATTTGTGGATCACTTGTTTGAAAGGAGATATTGTTCAATGCTTCTTTGAAATTAAGATTAATAATTTTATTGTTTGTTGTTACAAATTTAAAGTAAGCTTTAAGATAGTAGTAAAAGAAATAAAATATATATTTAGGATTAGTAGATGTATTGTTTAGTTGAATAAAGGTTTGTTTGGATTGGTTAGTTACTTTATAAAATTCTTTAAAAGGTAAGGGTGTATAGAAGGTTGCTGAGATGAATGTAGAAAGATTTAAAGATAGATATATATATTGTTAAATAGGTATAGTATTAAAGGATTGTTTAAAGTAGTAAGAAGTTAGATTGTTAATATTATGAGTTGTTTTTAGATTAAGAATTTTACATTTTTCCAGATTGGTACAGGTGTATATATGGTATATTGCTGTTTTAGTAGCATAGTTTGTTTGGCTTGAATGGATCGAATAGTTGGTAGTTCAGGTTTTGAAGAATTAGCATTTTGTATTCATTATTAGTTGCTGTTGTTATTTGGTATTTGATATAATTCTAAACTTTTTGTTCATTAATATTACTAAATTGTTTTTTATAATGTGTAAAAAATTTTTGAAACCAGATATCAAATTGTGGTTTAATTAAATAAAAAGATTAAATATAATAGTTTATATTAAATTCTTAGAAAGAGATATTTATAGTAATATTAATATGGAATTTAGAGGTATTATGAATTTGTAAAATAGGACTATTGCTTTTTAAAGTATTTGAAATATGGTTTATATTATAAAGGTTTTTAAGTAGATAGGTTTAAGTTATAAGTTGTAAAAGAATTTTTGATAATTAATAGTTTAGTATTTGTTATGTAGAAATAGATAAAGTCTAACAAGATTTATAGCAATTTGAAGTTATTTTTTAATTGAATAAAGAGGATTAAAATAGTATAAGTTAAAAAATTGATTGTAATTTGTTTTATGAAAAAGAGTATAACTAAATTTGGTAAGCCAGTTTTTTGTTGTATTAAGAAAAATTTTAAAAGGTATTTTGGTTGCTTCAGTAATATGTAAATTTTTGTTTAGAATTGTATCTATAATAAATTTAGGTTTTTTGGTTGCTATAATTTGAATTAATAAGCTGAAATTACTTTTTGCAACTGGTTTGTTAATTGTTATAAAATTAATAATTGAACCAGAATAGAAATCTAATGTTTGAATTCCAGATATTATAAGTATAGATAAAGAAGAGTTTTCTGATATAGGATAACTTTTGAATTAGTCTAAAAAGTGATCTTGTTAGATTTTAGTTTGTAGATTCATTTTGGAATTATAATTGATAATAATAGAAAAATGTTTAAAGTTATAAATAGCTTAGAATAGAGATATAAAAAGATTTTTTAAATAAATTATACTATGGATAGTGTTTTATAATGTAGGTAGCAAAAAAAGCAGATAAAAAGAATAAAAATTAGGCAAAAAAATTGAATTTTTAAAAATTGGCAGTGAACTTTCTAGAAGTCAGTAAATTTTTCAAATTCCTTTGAGGAAATTTGAAAAAATGTTGGGTATTTGGATATTTTCAAAGTTGGTAAAAAGTAAAATTTCCAGAGCACTCTCATAAATTTTCTGAAATTGAACAATAGAATTTCAGAAAGAAGTTTAAATAAAAGTTTAAAGAGAAATAATAATAACTTAATGAGTTTTGGTTTGTTAAAAATGAAATTTATATTAAAATGATCGCCTCAATAAGCTAAATATTTTTGTTTAATAAAAAAGAATAAAGTGTTTAGTAAAATTCAATAAAAAATAAGAAAGTATTTTTTTTAAAAAATGTTAGTAGTACATAGTATAATAGTTAGAATTTGGTAAATTTAGTATAAGTAGAAGCAGAAAGTTTAGTATACTTAGTTTACCTGAAAGTAAAAGAGTTTAATTAAATATAAATTAAAGAAATTTAAGAATAGGAGGCATATAAATTAGTTTTATATAGTTATATATGATATATTAAAATTTTTATCTAAAATTAATATATGTTACTAATAAAACTTTTTTATTTTTTAAATAATTAATAAAAAAATTTTATAATATTATAAATAAAATTATTTATCTATTATAGTAAAATTTTAAAGTATTGTATTATTTTAAAAAAATATACTTGTATATATAACAAAGTTTACTTAGATGAGTTAAAATTTCTTTAGATAGTACAAAAAGGAAGAATTTGATTGGTTAATTTATGTAAACCTATTAGTTAATTTTATTCTATAATTTTATATTCCAATCTTTAAAAATTCATATCTTAATGAGTTTTTAATCTATTTTAATAATTTTACTATCATTAGAATTAGAAAGACCTACTCTACAAATTTTGCTTAATGATTAAAATTAGTTTACTTAATATAATTTTTTATAAAATTAAATATAAAAAAATATTATCATTAGATTTATATATAATTTTAAAATATTTGCCCCTACTCTTAAACTACAATATTTATTTTACAACATATTTCTAGTATTTAAAATACTTCAATCTGCTTTTTAAATTTCTAATTTAAATAATTTATATAAGACTAAAACTAGTCTATTAATATATTAAGTTAGCTTAATATTCTTTTTTTTTTAGTCTATTTTTTTTTTTTTTTTGATATTAAGGTGACCTCTTTGGTCATTTGACTTTTATTAATCACTTATCAGTATTGTGGTTCAATAAACCACTACAGAAGAGCATACAATTGGCTACATGTATAACTTTTCTATATTACCTATTTAAGGAGTCCACTCAAAGGTTCCTTACCAATTGCCATACCTAACACCTCTGCTTGAGTGTTCTACTTTAAACTCTCTGAACCTATAACCTGTGTTAACATCACTAGGTCATACCCAGATGCCTAGATCATCATCTCAACCTTAGGACTAATTTATTTTCGAAGTAAAACCTCCAAAGCCTTCTGTACCCATTTTACAGCTAACCTAGGTATTGCTATAGCAGAACCAACACTTGTGGTCAGAGCTAACCATTAAATCATTATGCCTTTGTAAAGTTTACTTAGACTCCAGCATCTACTTTACAGCATAACCCTGGTACTTTAGTATACCCTTGCCTTTTTCTCTGCCTTTTTACCAAACTCCCAATCCAGATAGCCTATGTAGGACTACAACCAGTCCATTGGTATATTGGGTCAGCCTGATATTCTTTTTCTTCGATTCGTTTTGGTGGCCAGTTGGTGGTACTTCTAAGACTCTCAACCCAAAGGTTCTTGCCTGTCTGGCTACTAGGACCAGATACTAGATCTAGATATCTGTTTTGCCAGACTAGCCTTTATAGTAGGGCTGTCAAAAATTCAGCTACCTCTTTACTCAGGTCTTCTCAAATGGACTTCTTGTTACTCAATTTTAATGGATTTATATGACCACAAGGACTTATCTAGTGTTTGCACCACCTGATATGTCAGTTTGCATTCCTCTGTATAACTTCAACATTGCACAGATGCCCTATGACCTGCCAGTCATACTGGTGTGACTGCTATTACAGGTATTCTAACCCAACTATTAGTAATAGTTACTATAATATGAATATTACATAGATGATTATCCAAATTTTTTTGCCATCAATGGGGTTTGAACACCCAACCTACTACTTGGAAGGTTGACAACCTGACTACTTCACTAGGTCGCTACACTTCTAAATATAATTAATTTAATATTTTATATAAATATAAATATATATAGTTTGTATATAATTTTTTATAATATTTAGTTTGTTATATTTGTTACAAGATATTATGAATATATTTTTTTAACTTAAGCAATCATGCTAGTACTTTATTGGAATTCTTAATACTATACAGATTACAAAGAATTTTTTTAATACTTAAGTTTAGCATTACCTAGCCACCTTATTGATATCTAAGTGCAGCCTGTTGTACTATTTCAAACAGAGATAGACTGCTTGTCTGACTGCCATTCTACAATAAAATATTATCAATCTGATAATGGCTTCTTATAGAGAAGCAAAAAAACAAAAAAAAATTTTATATATAAAAAAAAAAACAGAGATATAGAAGTAAACAATAAATGATACAAAATAAGAAATAAAAAAAGAAAAGGAGATAAATAAGAAAAAAAAAAAGTGTAAAACTTGCAATTCACAAAAAATAAATGATCATAATTTTAAATTTATATTAGATATAAAACTTGCAATTTACAGATATCAGACAACTACAATTATAAGCTTGTGCTAAGCTTGTAAAAATTATAAACTATACTAAATAAAAATTATTTTACTATTTTTCTATTTATTTAAATTATTTAAACAAAAAAACTAAAAAGAAGAAAAAAAATTTGACTTTATCATAAAGGATTAGTACAGGATACTGGTTAGTTCAGATACAGTGTTTGACAAGTTTTTAGCAGCTTGAGACATGTGTATAGTTGTAACTATTTTAAATTATTAATAAAGATATAAGCAAGGCCTCATCTTAATACCAAAAAAAAAAAAAAGTTGTTCAGCTTATTGAGATGAATATTTTGATTATAATTTATTCAAAAACAGACTAAAACTCACAAAGATACAAGCAAAAAGCAAAAACAAAAACTTGCTCTTTGCAGGTTTTTTTATTGGCATTTTAGGAAATTTTGCAGGGGTGCTTCAGAAATTTTACTTTTCTGGTATCTATTAGAATTTCCTAAACATTCAATAAGCTTATTTGAAGCTTACACATCTTTCCAATTGATATATTATTGATAAATCTAACATATCACAAAATTCATATAATAAATTCGCATTATTAAATCTGATTCCAAATGTTTAATTTTTAATATCCTAATTATAAATAGAGTTTGGAACCAGAATTAATAATACAAATTTATCATACAAATTTGTAATATATTAGCATTAGGATTTATTAAGAACTTATTAATATTTTGATTCATTATTGTAATAATTATGATGATAAATTTGTATTAATAAATCCAATTCTAATCTCGATTTATCATTATAAAATTACTATATCTTTAATTTATAAGTTTATTATTTCTGGGTTATTGTCCGAAGCGAAGTGAGGACTTCACAAATGAATGCATTGCCTGGCAGAACAATTAATGAAATTTGAGAGATGATGGATCCCATGATCTTTAGTCAGTAAATATAAAGAACTTCTGAACTTAATAAATTCAAGAAAATAAAATATATGTGTATTGTAAAGTAGAGAAAGGTATTTTGGCAGGGTAGATAATGTGGCAGATAACATATTATTGAAGTTAAACCTTGGTTATCAACTGGAATCCAATGATTCTTATACAACTTGATTTGTCTCATCAAGACAAATTGAATAATATAAAAAACACCCGATTCTGACTAATAGATTGTACAAAACTCTGGAGCGAATGATATGTATCATAGCAAATGATTGTCATAATACATATGCATATATTATAAGGGGGAAATCGTCCAATACTGGTGTCGAGGTTGCTTGAGTCGATCTGGACCAAATTTAGTAAAAAGTTATCATAGCTGTCAGCAATGGTAGCTATGACAGTTGTGGCAGTAATAGCATATAGGTTAGAAGTGGTAAAAGTGTTAGTAAAAGTCCTATAATAACTAAAATGTATATAAAGGTTCAATAGTTTAATCGAAATAAAGATAACTCCCCTTTGAGTTCGAAACTATGACATAATAGTAGTAGTAGTTCTTTAAGTACTATATGATTGTAGTATTTTGTATTATCGTATTTGACTTGTCTCTGTGATTAGTAACAGACCTGTTACCAATAGTTCGCTAAAAGTAAAAGAGAGAAAATTCTTATTAGTAATCAATCCCTTATATATAAAAATACTTAAATTGATTAAGTTTGTGATTGGTCTAATTGTTAAATAAACTTATAGATATAATCACACTAAATCATGATTCTGTGACAAATGACCCTAAAATTCTGAATTCAAAAGATGATTGAAACTCAGGCACATCTGCAAAATAAGAACTATACTAGGGATAGTATTAGTTATTTGAACCAGAGACCATAATAGTAACAAAAGTGTTGGAATTAGTAATAAACTCAAGCTCAAATTACAGTAAATAGCTTTAAAACAAGTCTTGTAACCTCCGCAGTATCCGAAAACACCCTATTCTTGAACTAAGTCAATCTATGCCTCAATTGAAGCCTACTAGTTAGAGTATAGAAAGGAAATTCGAGTAAATTTAGTGTTCCTAATCTTAGCCTTTTGCTTAGTAACAACTTCTGGCATCTGAGTCTTTTACTATATATGAATCTACACCGTTACAACATACTAATAATTATTTCAATATTTAATATGTTAATCTGTTGATCTGTCACTTTACCCTCCCAACTGTTAAAGTTACTTCACACTAACAAAAGTTAGACAAACACAAGCCAACATCTTTTTTTTATTTAATTATATAATTTAATAAATGAATAATTATATTATATTAAAGTGAAATTTGTAATTAGTAGTATTTTAATAAAGTTTTATTAAAGCAAATATTGATAAATTTTAATTTTACCAAAATACCTTCCTCTACCTTATGATTTTCTAGTAGATCTATTAATTCAAATTTATGATGTAAGTTATTATCAAGTTGAGTTTTTGTTATAATCTTTATATATTTTCTTATTTCATAAACTAAATTACTTTTTTGACCATTCATCAAATCTTAAATATGAAATTCTGCAACACTTGAACTTTTAGTTCTAATTCTATACGAATTGTATGCAACAAATATTTTAACATTTGGATGTAATATTTGATTGCATTTATATACTATATGAGTTGTTATCAGAACTGCTAAGAGACATATATAATTGCATGTATTGATTTTATCAAAGAATAACCAGAATTCATAATATTAACATTTATTTGAGTCTTTCATAAATTGATTAATTATTGATAATTTTCTTTGCTGTCTGTTATGCTAGCATGAAGATTTAAAGTGTGAAATTCCATTTCTTCTACTATAGCAAGAAAACTAATCAAATTTGTCTGTTAATAATTGTCATCAAATAAAACTATTAGATTCTTACATTGCATCTTGACCATTTTTACTATAAAAAACTTATAATATTTATACCTTTCTACAACCAGCTTCACCACAAATTACTACAGATATGTTCTCAAAACAAAATCAAAGCCAACTTCAAAGATTATCAGCTGATAAAGCATAAGGGTCCAGCAAAACATGGATAGTTAATTTTATAATGAGTTTTACATAATATACTTTCCAATCTCCATAACAATAAGCCTATTGGATTCCATTTTCCTAGTAGTGACCAGAGACATCGGCAAAGTTCTATAGAGGATGGACACCTTTTCATATCAGGAAATCAAAGTTGTTTAAAATATTTCTATAACAATAAACACTTTCAATTATATAACAGAATAGGATATTTTAACTTTAAATTTCACTTTATTTTTTTGTTTGATAAAATTCATAATTTATTAATACATATTAAAATTTGTAATCAAAATTTTGGCATTGTCAGAATTTGACATTGTCAAGATCTTGGTAATGTCAGAATTTTGACCTATCAGGATTCTGGTAATGTTAGGATTTTAGTATTGTTAGAAGTTTAACATTGTCAGGATCTTGGTAATGTCAGGATTTTGGCATTGTCAGGATTTTAGGTGTTGGGATCAATATAAATGGTGTCAGGATTTTGGTACTATTGAGATTTGGTGCTGTAGAGATTTTGGAAATAATGTGATTTTGGGGTCAGGATTTTGGTACTGTCGAGATTTGGTGCTATTGGGATTTTGGAAATGATGAGATTTTGGGGTCAGGATTTTGGGTATTGGGATTTTAGTACTGTTGGAATTCTGGGGTTAGGATTTTGGATGTCAGGATTCTGGAGTAAGACCAAGGCTAGATGTTTATTATCTTTGTAAAAGATTGAAAAGTCTAATATAGGATAAGTCCATGCTAGTTGATTAGACCTGATAAATAAACTTGATTTGTTAAAGACAGAAGCAGTAAATTTTTTAAAGAATTGATCAAAGTAATATATAAAGAGATTTTGAAAATTATGTTTAGTATCAGATAGAAGAACTGTGCATTTGTGTTCATCAGAGTTTTTGCAAATATGAATATAAAAAAGAGCAAGTTTTCTAACTAATAAAGTGTGCTCTTAAAGAGATGTAATAGATTCAATAATAAAGAATTGAGATAGTAGCTTTTTATGCTTTTTAGCATATTTAGTTGCAGTTTGATATTTAAGAAAGTTAAAAACTTTGGTTTTGATGATGTTTAGAAAATGATATTTATAAATTTCAAAGAATTTATCAAATCAATTTTCAAGAATTGCTTTATGTGGTTTAAAGGAAGATATTTGAAAAGAATTTTTAAATTTTTCAGTATTAATGTTAAAAAAAATATTAACATTTAACTTTTCATCATTTTGTATTTGAAAAGAAGCTTTGTTAATTTAATTATAACTAATATTATAATATAAGATATAGCAAAGTGGTTGAAGATTTAGATCTTCTGCAAATTTTTTTGTATGAATAGTTTTGTAAGTAGAGTTAAGAAAAAGATGTAAACAAGCAAGATTGATAGCAACTTGAAATCGATTTTGAAATGTATATAGTGGGATAATATAATGAGATTAAAGAATTTTTTATAATTGAGTTTTGTGAAAAATATAGTAAGAAATTTAGAGAAAATAAGTTTTAATGTATTAATTAAAATTTCTGTAGGAATTGGAATATGAGTATCAATTGATGGATTAGTTTTATAGACTAAGTTCATCAAGAATTTGGATTTTCACTTTGCCATATTTTTTAGTAAGTAATCAAAAAAGTATTTAAAAATAGATTTAATATCTGGATTTTCAGAAGGAATAGTTTTTCCAGGTATGAATTGAATTAAGTTGGGTTTAAGAAACTCAAATAATTGTTGAGAAAGTAGAGTATTAAGTTTTGAATTAGATTCTATTTCTTTTGTGACTGGAAATAATTTAAACCAGTCAAGATCTTGAGAGGTATCACATTTTTGTTGTTGAGATTTGGTCTTCTTTTTAGGAAATCTAGATAAAATTTTTTTAAAAAGTTCCAATTTTTCAGTTTTGTTAAGTAAAATAAATTTGGATATATGAGTTATTTTCTTTTGTTCTTGAGTTAGAATTTTAGTTTGAGGAAGATGACATAATTTGATATCAATAATTCTGTGAATACAACTATGATAAATAAGTCAAGTGGGTGTCTTAAGTAAACTTGCTCAGCTACTAATTTTACATATACTCTGAAAGTTTCAAGTCTATAAATTTCGAACTCGCAGTTTAATATTGCCAAAATGGCCTTTGGCCTTCACTACTAAACTTTTAATTATTTCTCATAAAGTACTCTATTAACCTATTCTACAGTCATAAGAAAAGTTGTAAAGCACTTCCTTCCGATCAAAACAAGCCCAAAAAGAAGCT